GTAAGGGTCTACTTGGTGTCTGGTCCTATTCTGAGAATTGTCAGTGATAGCACTGAACAAAGCAAAGCTGTTTCCAAGGAATGCACAGTGGAAGGTGAGGAGACAGATAAACATAAAAAATACTTCTTTTGAATGTCAGAAAAATCATTTTGGCTGGAAGCAGAAAAGATAGTGAACATTGATCAGTTAAGAACTTCTTGGGATAATCTGTAGAAGATAGGATAGTTACGTGATGCCAGGTGGTGGCAGAGACACTAGAGTTTAGTGGAAAGATTAAAAAAAGAAACATTAACACTGTAGAATAACACATGTGGTGATGACCATGGGGAATAAAAGTCACAAAAATTAAGAATGTCAGGTAGAATTCTCACTAAGGTATCAGGGTAACAATAAGACCAGTCAGCGAGATTTGGAATATAACAAAAGGAGGGACTATTTAGGAAAGAAAATGAGGGAATCAATTTGGGACACGGAGGGTTAAGGTGTCCGCAGAACACCCAAGTGAAGACGATTTTATATATGGACAAACCTTTGAACAATTGGCAAGATAATAGCTACCTTTTCCTGAGTCTTGCTATCTGAGGTCTGCAATTAAGGAATGCAGAGGTTTTGGGGGAGACATGCGGAAGCAGGAGTTAGGCTCTGGGGTGGTTAAGCTTAATTGCGTCAATTTGGTTGGCTGGGTGTGTCTGAGTGGGGCATGGAGATGTGACCTTAGGTGCTGTACTGCATAAAGCCTTTTCTGGCCATGTGCCCTGCTCTACTACCTGGTTACCATATGCTAAGCATCTTTGCTCTGCCATGAGCTTCAGCTTGATGTTTTTGCTTGGAGCTGATTGACTATGGCCTGAACCTCCTGAAATTGTGAGTCAAATTAAGCCTTTCTTCCTTTAAATTGTTGGTCTTAGATATTGTGTCCCAGCAATGAGAAACCTGACTAAAACAGCCGGGAGACATTTTTATAACAGGTAAGAAGCCATGGTGAACATATGATAAGTCAGTTTATCGGATTTCACCTCACTCTTTGTATTTCTCTGTATTCTTTTGGTATTTGGCAAAGTTATATTTAGTCATGCCAACTGATTTCAGTCATATATGACAGAGAGAAGACTACATGTTCACTCATTGCCACAGTATTGGGGGAGCAGTGCTTCCTACCATACTCAAGGAATGGATCTTATTTATCTTTATATTTCCAGCACATAACAGAGGCTTAATAAATTTCTGTGGGTATATGTACAGTAGGTTAGGCGGTAGGTGAATGAGTGGATATTCATTTTATTTCTACCATGCCTCCTTTTACAACATATCATCAAAAGCTTGCAGTTAAATAAGTACAATAATAAAAAAATATCAATGGAAACAGAAAAATAGTTTTCTGGAAAAATAAATAACCAAAATTTCCTAAGAAAAAGCTGAAACCCAAATAGACCAATGATCTCAAGAAATATTAAGATGAGAGTCAAAGGTTTCTCACCAAGAAATTGACCAGCCTCAGACAATTTATACTTAAATTCCACAAGCTATCAATGGTTTTCTAGAAGACAAAAAGCCATCTTTAATCTTATATTATCACCAAAAATGGAACAACATGAAAAATTAAATTAAGAGGGTTTCACTTAAGATGAAAAAAATCCTCAGTAAAATATTAGCAAATAGAATCTTACTGTCTGCTAGAAAGAGTAATATGCCATAGTCAAATAGGGGTGTCATAAGAATACAAGATGACCCAAATTTTGAAATATATGAAATATAGCCTGCTACATTAACAATTACAGAAAAAATCAATTTTATACAAAAACATTACTAGAATTAGGAATATTCCTAATTTATAAACAACATATCAGAAAGGTACAAAACCCACTGTATTTCTGGTGAATTATTAGAAACATTAGGTGATATCATTAACCAAAGCAGAGAGTGTGGGACAAAGAGCAGGCTGGGGCGGGAGACAGAGACTGGGGAGGAACCCAGGCCCTGCGCAGAGTCTCTGTGCGTGGTCTGCAGGCAAAGGTGGAGTACGCACAATGAGCTGAGACCAGTTAGGGTGAAAAGAGAACCAGAGCAGAGGGCAGGAACAGTAAATTAAGGGGCTCACAACACTGAGAAGGGAACAAAGGAACAAGAAAATAGAGAGCGGCTGATGAGGGAGTGGCAGCGCGGAGGAGTGTGTTATGACAGAGTCAAGGTAAAGAGAGCAAGGACTTCAGTTGCTGGGGGCACTAATTACAGGCTGCTGCTGACCTTCGCTAAGGCTGTGGTGAGCACTAAAGACAGCATGTGTGGGTATTTAATAGGAGAAGAGGAGGTAAAAGCAGAAAAAGAGCACTTTGCCACTGTACGTGCGGCACCTTGAGGAGGAAGTGAAGTTCAGAGGAAGCTTTCTTAGGTTCATTTTTGTAAGGCCAAAGAGGAGTGACCAATGGAGAACAGAGACTGCAGGTACTTTAGATAGGGGATGATGGATGGAGCCAGTTACTGCTGGGGCAGGAGGAAGAAGTGCTCATAAAAATCACCCAGTGCTTTACCCTCGGTTCAAAAACAAGATCATTTATGAAGTCACCCATTCATGAACTCAAGTGTTATACTAAATAGCTACCATGTGCCAAAGACCAAAGTTTGTCCTTTCATGCTGGGGCTGAAGGAGACCTGGTTTTGGCACAAGTACAAGGCGTGGAGGCCAGCAGAGGGGACTGCTCATTGTTAGAGACCACACATAGGTACAGTGGCACACAGGACCTGAAATCTGAGTACATACATCATTTGTCTTAGTTTATTTAAGTTTATTGGTACAATTTAGGTATACATTATAGAGAATCTGTGCCTATACATGATATACCTTGATTCCACTTAAACAAACTTTTAAACATACATCCTTTCTGACAAAATATTTCAATGACAAGTTTTAGCTGTAAGTTATTAGAGGAATCTCCTGTAGGCTCCCTGGGCTTGTTGTGCTCAAAGCTTTAACAAGGACAAATGACCACAGCCAAATGGCAATGGCAAATGCTCCTCAATCAATAAGCCTGCTATCCAAACCTTCAATTATCTGCTCAGCAATTCACTGTTTCTTTTTTTTGCACCCTTCCTCTCAACTAATCCCACTGAGATACAATGTAGGCAGGATTACACTCATCAGTTCATGCTTAGTGCTAGCCTCTACCAGTGTTCTCAGCAGTCATGAATTAAAAGGTGGGTTTCACTGGTTTTGAAAGAGAAAGATAGAGAAGGTCTGTCCTAATGTTCATCTCAAAACATTACTTTTAGGTGTAGATTGCCATACAACCCAGGGCCGCCTTACTTTAGATAGTGGCTGTGTATGTCAGGGGCTAGAACTAGTGAGGAGATGGTAAATTAATGAGTAAAGAATTTGAAAAAAGTTTGAACTGAAAGGGCCTCTGAAGTCACTGAGTAGAAACTTCTTATTTGATGAGATAAAAATAATTCATCACAAGGTCAGTTGATGGATGCCCCTTTTGGAACTCAGGAGTCTTGCAACTTCATCTAGCATTTTTTCTTTATGTCATGTTACCATACTGCCCACTGACCTAAACTTTCAAATAAATGATTTTTCCAGTGAAAAACTGTTTAGTGTTGTGGAAAATGTCCCACAGGGAATGGATAAATGAGTGCTAGTACCAAAGGAGGTTTGAACATCGACTGTGAACTTCTAACTGATCCAATCTGCAGCCCATATGCCTTTTTTCCCCCTTTTGCTTTTCCTTTTAAATTCTATGATAAGATAGGCATGGTCGCAAATGCCTATAATCCCAGCACTATGGAGACTACGGTGGGAGCATTGCCAGGAGTTCAAGGCCAGCCTGGTCTATATACAATGAGTTCAAATCCAGTCTAAATTACATAGTGAGACCCTGTCTCAAAACACAAAACAAAACAAACCCCAACACCATAATAATGTAAAAAAAAGGGAGGAGTGTTTAGTCACTTATACACATTAACTTATATACAGTAACTTACATACATATTATATGTTTTATATGTGGCCCAAGACAATTCCTTTTCAAATCCATCCCACCCCCAAAGGTGGGGAGAGGGAAGCCAGCCTCAGGTTGGACATAGCTGCAAGTCACACTGCAAGGCACAAAATTCTAAAATGAACAGCTACCTTTGTTGTTCACGTTATGGATTTTTCAGGTCCTTTGTTTTCCCCGATACGCACTTTTAAAAATAATACACTTTGTACTTTAGAGCAGTTTTAGATTCACAGTAAATGTGAGCAGATGGTACAGATTTCCCATGAGACCCCTGCCCCACGAGAGCACAGTGTCCCAGGTATCAGTGCTCTCCACCAGCTGCTCACTTGTTACAGCGGGTGACATGCACTGACTGACACAGCACTACCTGCAGTGTACATGAGGGTTCACTCTTGGTGCTGTACATTCTGTGGGCATGGACAAATTCGTAACGACAGGCATCCACCATTCTGGTACCTTACAGAAGTTTCCTTGCCTGAGAAGTCCTCTGTGCTCTTCCTATTCAGGCGTTCCTCTTCCCTAACCCTGGTGGCACCTACTTTAAATCTTGTGACCGTTTATTTTTAACCTTCCAACCCTTTCCTCCATTATAGAGGCACAAATTAAGCTCTGACGTGGAGTCTGGTAATGAGAATAAAACAAATTATGATTTAAATTACAGCGTGGAGAATTTCTGCAGGTAATTACCCATGCCTCTCCTTACCAAAGGAAAAAGAATGAATTTCAATTAGAATATAAAGTAATTCTCCTTAAGACTCTGAGAATAAAGAGACCAGCTCTGGATACTGGGAGTGTATTTATTTCTGGGAAAAATCATGGCTCCAGAATCATCAGACTGAGATGAAATACACTAGGGGCATATTCAATTTTATTCTAAAGTTGAAGAAAGAGAACAGAAAGGGAAAAATGAAGCAGAGTGAAAAACCAGGCAATCAAGAGAAAGAAAAAGAAACTTAACTACAGGACTCTGAGCAAGGTATTTTTCTTCCCTTTACAAGTTAGAAGCTATTGAATAATTCATCCCAAGCATAGAAAGGCTGTCTCTTCCCTGAGTGATGTATAACGGAGCAGGAGAGAGCTTCGAGTGGGTTCACCACATCAGCTTCCACTCTTGCTTCTGAGCACAGGGCTCTCTCCTCTTGAGCTCAGCTTCTGCTTTTGCAGCCAAGCATTCTTGCTGCTGTGCCGCCTGCCCACCCGCCCGGGCTTGCAGTGGCCACTTTACTTTCTCCAGCTGCCCTGCTGCCAGCTAAGAAGTCTCCTGCAGCCGCTGCTTTCTGCCTGGTACCATGTGTGTGGATGCTGCTTGGGAGAAGCGGGGCACCTGCTCCTGGCACAGAGCCCAGCGGAGTTTCTCCTGTTGATTTCTGGACCACAGATGCTGCTGCTGAGGAGGTATTTCCTGACACCCCTCCCTCTGCCATCCTCAGCTAAGGACCGGCCCCCAGAGAAGGTACCCTTACCCTCTCCCTCTGGCATTTTCCCCAGTTGGGGTATCTCTGCTTTTTCCTGCTAACTAGGGGCTCCAGCTGGCATGTGGGGAGTGGTGTGTGCGTGGGCATGCTGTTGTGTCTTGGGGAAGAGGAGACTGTACTTGGCGTGGCTCTGTCCCAGGGCTTCGCAGGTTCCTGCTGAACGCAAAGCGGCCTTTCCCTGGGCACTGGAGACATTTCCCAGGCAGGCACCTGTCATCTGCCACCCCCGTCCTCCTGGAGCTTCCTCTCTTCCCCTCCCCCAGCCCATTATTCTGCCTCAGCCTTTGTGTCGGTGGCAGAGGGCTGAGGGATGTCTTTGCCTTCTCAGCCGGCAAGTGTCAGGATGGGCAGCGCTGCAAGAAGCCGACGCTAAGGCGCGAGGTGCGAAGAGTTGGCCAGAATGACCAACTCCTCCACGTCCACCTCCTCCACTACCGGGGAATCACTGCTGCTGCTCTGCGAGGAAGAGGAGTCGTGGGCGGGCCGGCGCATCCCCGTGTCCCTCCTGTACTCGGGCTTGGCCATCGGGGGCACACTGGCCAACGGCATGGTCATCTATCTCGTGTCGTCCTTCCGAAAGCTGCAGACCACCAGCAACGCCTTCATCGTGAACGGCTGCGCCGCCGACCTCAGTGTCTGCGCCCTGTGGATGCCGCAGGAGGCGGTGCTGGGGCTGCTGCCCGCGGGGTCCGCGGAGCCCCCCGGGGACTGGGACGGCGCCGGGGGCAGCTACCGCCTGCTGCGGGGCGGGCTGCTGGGCCTCGGGCTCACGGTGTCCCTCCTGTCCCACTGCCTCGTGGCTCTGAACCGCTACCTGCTCATCACCAGGGCGCCCGCCACCTACCAGGTGCTGTACCAGCGGCGCCACACGGCGGGCATGCTGGCGCTGTCCTGGGCGCTCGCCCTGGGCCTCGTGCTGCTGCTCCCGCCCTGGGCGCCGCGGCCGGGCTCGGCGCCCCCGCACGTGCACTACCCCGCGCTGCTGGCCGCCGCCGCGCTGCTGGCGCAGACCGCGCTGCTGCTGCACTGCTACCTGGGCATCGTGCGCCGCGTGCGCGTCAGCGTCAAGCGGGTCAGCGTGCTCAACTTCCACCTGCTGCACCAGCTGCCCGGCTGCGCCGCCGCCGCCGCCGCCTTCCCGGCCGCCCCGCACGCGCCGGGCCCCGGCCCCGGCCCCGGCCCCGGGCAGGCCCAGCCGCTGCCCCCCGCGCTGCAGCCCCGGCGCGCGCAGCGGCGGCTCAGCGGCCTCTCGGTGCTGCTGCTGTGCTGCGTGTTCCTGCTGGCCACGCAGCCGCTCGTGTGGGTGAGCCTGGCCAGCGGCTTCTCGCTGCCCGTGCCCTGGGGCGTGCAGGCGGCCAGCTGGCTGCTGTGCTGCGCGCTGTCCGCGCTCAACCCGCTGCTCTACACGTGGAGGAACGAGGAGTTCCGCCGCTCCGTGCGCTCCGTCCTGCCGGGCGTGGGCGACGCGGCCGCCGCCGCCGCCGCCGCCACCGCTGTGCCCGCCATGTCCCAGGCGCAGCTGGGCACCCGCGCGGCCGGTCAGCACTGGTGACCCGCCGCGGCCCGGCTGTCCGAGGCGCGGGCTCCCGAGGTCGCGGGCCACCCTCGCCTCTCCCCTCCAAGTCCCCTGACTTCCTCCGGGAAGCCAGACGCGCCCGCCGAAGATGTCGCCCTGACCCCCCGGGGGTACCCGAGTCAAGGTCTTGACCTTCGAGGGGTCCCGAAGTCATTTGTGGACGGCCACCTGATTTTCTTTTTTGTTTCTGTGTTTTAGAGAAGTCCTTAAGTCGACTCACTGGAGACAGCAAGAACTTGCAAACTGGCATTTAAAAGGGACCGGCTAATTTACTTCAACTTGTTTTTGAAAAATCTTTCCTAAGATATAACCCTTCCTGTCCGTCGTCTTATAATGTATGAAGCGCCTTCAGTGTGCGTGAGCCAAAGGACATGAAGAGGAAGAGTGCAGAAAGCGTTAGACAGGAGCTGTTATCACTGATGATGCTTCATTCTATTTCATTTTGTAGATAAACCTGGAAGAGTGAAGCCACAGATAATGTGCAGCGCACCGGTATTAATTGCTATTAAGACCTCAAGTCCTTTATTTTTAAAAGGGCTTTTATAAAGTCAAGTCATTCTTTAATGAGATGGAATCATAACCAGCGAGGAAAAAAAGTCCGAATTTATTATTTTATGCCCTTTTCCACTTCTAACATTAATATTAACATTGAGCATTAAGTGAAAAATTTCCAGTTTGTTATCTGATGCACAGAGCCAGAAAATGGAATTTAGAAAACCAACGAAGGGGTTATCTATTTTAGGGATCACTTTCACATTTTCTATAGCATGCACACTTGTTGCTACCCTCATTTTGTAAGCATTTGCCTTATGAGTGTGATTGCAGCTTTGAGCATTCTGTACTATAATGGTTGCTAAGGAGAATAAGTCCGTCTGTTTTCTCTTTCACATTTAAAATATCTCAATGCACATGATATAATTAAACACTACTAATACCATAAGTGCATAGCTAATATTAGCTGCTATTGCATGTTCCTAGATGCTAGAACTTATTTGGCATGTGAATACTAAAGCAATACCCATTAGACAAGGACATTTTATTTCTTCCAGACACCAGAAGAAATGACCTTCAATTATTTGGGAAGAGACACAGAGACACTTCTAGCTGTCTAGAGTTCTGCTTGTCTTGATCTAACTTATGAGAAAGCTCCCAGTTGAGACTTTAGCTCAAACATGGAGCCACAGTAAAGGTGGGTCAGAATATGGTTTGGCTCTGCAGAGTCATCTGTGCTCTTTCATGGTTTAAACAAGCCACACATCAGAAAGTAACACTGTTTTGTGTAGTTCATATATATTATCATGATACTTTACACTGGTATCATGTCCATTGAAGGAACTGTATAAATCGGCTATATATAATGAACAGTTCAAATGGGACTCTTATCAAATGTATTATTCAAGATTTGTCATTTTCATGTTTAGTTTACAAACTGTATTTAGGAACATTTGAAATGCAAAATGTAAAACTACTTTATAAAACTAAAATTAGAAGAAAGTAATTTTAATATCTCACATATCAGGCTGCTAACTAGATTGAGTACGGGGCCAAATATCCCCGATTAACTGTGTATTTTAGAAGCAAAAACAGCTTGCTTTGTGGCACTCTTGGACTTTTTAAACCAGGATATTAAGAACAGTTGTGCATTTGAATAATCATGGAAGTGACAGAAAACCTTGTCATGTTTGTAATAACACAAAATAAAACAAATATGTTCATTGCCAATAATAAATCAGCAGTCCTTTTATTATCAGTCCCTTTTATGCACGCACCATTTCTCTCTGACTAAGGTTTCATCTGTTCCCAATTTCCTTAATTCAGAGACTTAATTAAAGTTCGGATTACTATTCTTTTGAGTTTTTTCTTCTTCTTCTGTCTCTGGTTTTCTTATGTACCCTCCTGAGGTCACTGTAACATGGTCTCCCACAGCACTAATGAGGGAAGTAGCTTTTTCCCCCTGGTTGTAGTTTTCAGTTTCTATAAGCATTTCTACCTTACATAATTAAATACACTTCCTATGTCAGCATGAAGAAGAAATAGGCATAATTTCTTTTCTGTAAGTATTGGAAGATAGACTATAACAACAGAGTTGAAGCTTTTATGGTTTAGAAGACTGGGGGCACTTCTAAATATCACAAAAGTCTTTTCAATTAGGTCTTTATCATTGTTTGTCACTGTTGGAAAGTGTAAGCAATTTTCCTCAGTGTTCCTGTAGATATTTGTGACTTTCAAACAGCTTTTCTAGTGTGTGCCTGGTATCTTGCAGTGTTTCTGGCTAGCACTAGAACAATCTCCTGCTGGCTTCATGCCATGCGTGAGACCTACTTTAGTTTAATTTGCTGGTAATTAACTCCACAGGACTGATTCACTTTTAATTTCAAACTAGCAATGATGTATCTAAAAATGCCTTACTAGGGTACTAGCTGAGAGTTGGAGCTATTTCTTTGACAAATTAAGTTAATGGAGATTGTGTTCTTATTTAAATGAAACCACGTATTATCCACTCAGGAATAATAAAAAAATCTTAATTGCTATCCTGGGCTGCCCTATTTGGCTTATTTTACTTTTTTTCTTTAGGTGTATACCTGTTAAAACCTATAGGGCCTGCCTTCTTTCCCCATGCATTGTAAGGAAAATTCTAGGATATAAAGGTGTTATTCCTAGCACATCTCTTCTTCCAAAATGAAGAATATAACTAGACAGGCTAGACTAGACTGCAGAGGTAGTCACTATGGGGAGAGTTTCAGGTCAGACAAGTTTCCCTTTGTCTCAGAATTAGTGATAAAAGTTTCTGCTGTGGGGTATTTTTTTCCAATAAGATCCAATGGGAAGATGGATTGTAGCTGAGGAAGAGGAAAGAGATTTACCTAAGTCCACAGACAGAGCTAGTTCTTAGAAAGATCTGTTCTGGTGTGCTTTGAGCTCACTGTGCTGTGCGACTCTGTTCTTCCCAGGACAGCTGTGTTGGCCAACTTCAGTGTTTCATGAGTCCCCTTCATTCTGTCTCCCAGGAATTCAGATCATGCTCTCTTGGCTCTTTAGTAGTCTTTAGCTGACTTGACAAAGGGCATCAGTGGTGCTCATTTAGATTTAAGGACATTGAGAAAAATTGTAGCATCCTTCACTTTTAAGGCCTATTCTTAAGGATATGGGTTGTAGGGCAGGAGAGGGCTCCAGATAAAGCTCTTGGGCTATGGGAACAGAAGGGACTCTTTTGCCCCACTATGATCTCTTGTACCATTACAAAGTGTCCGTGAATATGTGTGGCACTCTGCAAGCATGTCTGTGCCCTGCTTCTGCTCCTCTCCTGCCAGCTGTGTCACTATCTCTGGGACCAAGTGGCTCACACACAGGGGCCAGAGCATGCCCTGCTGAGAGAGGCACAGGCTCTGGGTTGGCACATTTCCTTGGGATTTCTTTCCTTTTGGGGCAGGGTGGTCAGAGGAGAGTGGAAGCAAGCCCTTTGAAGTGTAAAACCTAGGCTGAGATCCCAGTCCCGCTAGAGGTGATATTGCTTTCAATACCACAATACCATAGGCTCTGTCCAGGCAGCCTTTCCTAGCAGGTCACTCCCGCAGGGACACTTAACAGATGCCTCACGTGTGGTGTTCCTACATTCCTAATCCTCCCAGGCCTAAGTCAAAAGATGAGATAAGGATCAGACAGCAGGAAGAGTATGGGCCAAACGAAAGGCTGCATTTTGATGGTGGTTGAAGGGGACTGATGATGGGCACGGGGGGATTATTGTAGAATATTCTCTACTGTTGTGTGCCTTTGAAATTCTTCATGGTAAAATTTTTTTAAAAATAAAGGCTGAAAAGGAAGAAGGAAAGAAATGAGAAAGGAATAAAGGAAGAGAAATAATAATAATAATAAAACAGCCCACAGGCTGTAATGACCACAGTGTAGGATAAAATCAGAAGTTTTTACTCAGCTGTGGCATTCGCTCCTCAATATGACTGTACCCTAACCCCCAAATCTATCTGTGCTGTACACACACCCACATCCTTTGCTGTAGCCTAGTGGGTGCTCACACTGCCTTCTGCATGTGGCCTGTGGTCCATGTCTGAACCCTGGCTCAGGTAGGAACTTCCTAGCATTCCCCAGCCCTTCCTCACTTACCCAGCCTCTTCCCTTCCTTCTTGGGAGGCTCATTTACTCTCTACCCCCTCACTAGCGCTCCTCATGCCAGCCATGAGCTCTGCCTCCTCAGAATCCTTGCTCTTGCCATGGATTCCTTTCCGCTGTTATCTCTTGCTTAATCTGTGTATCTTACCTTCAAAACTAGATTGGAAAAGTGGGATTACTTGATTTATTTTTCATACTTTTAAAAAAGGGAAAACATTTTTATCTTTTTGTGGCCAGTTATTCAAAATATACTATATATTAATATTCCCTGGCAGTTGACAATGATAATTTTTAAAGACAATGGATTTGGTTCTTTCCTTTGCATATTTACTTTTTTCATAGTGAAACAGACCTAGGAGTAAGTCCTAGGCCCGGCTTACTCCTTACCAAAGGACATCACTGAAAGTGGATCTAGGATCACGAGTGAGGTACGGAAGTCACATGCCATCAGTGCTGTGGTGTCAGGGTGATTTGTACTCCTGTTATACCCAAGCTTTGTTCACACAGGCTAACAATAAAAAGCTACAGTCCTAATTATTACCTTAAGTTCCAGGTCTAAATACTCAACGTGTGCAATTACTTCTCAAATTCTTGCTTGAAAAGCTGTGTATTTCTGATTTGTAAAAATCTTGAACATTGCTAATCTATACCGATGCATTTTGGCAGAACGCTGGGGGAAGTAACTGTCTTGTCCTTACCTTTGCTTGTCAGTTCCTTGAATGATGGACCTGGAAAAAAACACTAGAGATCTTCCAGGCTGATGCCTAGCTATTTTTATTAGATAGAAAGTGCTTTAATTTTTAATCTTTTTTTGTATAAATTAGGCCCATTTTCCATTTTTCTATTTTCAGGGAGTAGAAAAGTACCATGCAAAGGGTCCTGCATGGTAGTAATGTTCTACTACTCACAGTTTAGCCAAATGGCAGTTCTATGAAATGGCATGATCAAATCCTTCATTATTGCAAAATTTGCCATTGTGGAAGTTTTCTTTTTATAAAATACAGTTTTTTTAATCCGAAG